AGGAACACTGCATTCTAAGCTAAAACCAAGCAAGGAAGGCATCGAGGAGCCTCAAGCACACTGACAACTGTTGATATAAATCGATTTCTTCAAATGTCTCTTAACGTGGGCAGTTCGTTTTGGGCCCTGAGTCTTCTTAAAAACCCGTAAGTTAGGTGAATTTCACGCAAATCCTTTTTTTAAGACTCATTCATTTTTTAGAAGTCATTAGCTGAGTTGGTTTGTAGCTTGTGGGTGGAGTTCAACCATCTCTAACTTTGAAGCATTGTTTGCCCATTTCTCTGGTCTTATTAAAACTTCCTACATGAAGCTGATAATCAGCTGTAAAGCTTCAGTCACACAGGAATCAGTTTCATGAATGTTAATACCGAAATTTTAAAAGAAATTTAGGGTAAGTCTTGCTCAACCTCTAGGTCTGCGTAAGTGGAGTACCTCCAGCTGCTTAGCTGCACATTTTAAGAACCATCCTTATAACCTAGTGTTCTGTTGTGTATCTTCTCCGCCATGGCCATTTAGTGAGTCATATGAAAAAGTATTAACCTGTATTATCACCCATCTCTGCTTCAATACGATTTTATTTACCAAAATGAGCAATGGGGTGGATTTGGCCCCAGGCTGCAGTTCACTAACTCTGTAGTAGGCAATATTTAGCTTCAGCTATCAAACGTACCTTGCCTTTCGTAACAGATCGAAACTCCATGGCAGCACTGCATATTGGATAAATATTTGTGAGGTACTTGCTACACAGAAAAATATGAATACCTGGAAGTTTGGGGCCTATTACAGCCCAGCAGCTCATTAAATGGCCAGCACACGCTAAGTGGTGCCTCAGCCTGTTTTAATTTTTCCTGTTGAAAGCTCTCAGCAGTACCGCCACCCTATTTCCTCCACCTGATAGCCTGACTGATGAGATTAGCAGACGGATCTCAAATGGGTGACTATGCACAACATATTTTAAATCTTCCATTTTAAGAAGCGAGAGAGAGAGAGCATGCTGAAAGACACAGGTGGACCAGATGGGTTAATCCAGAGTGATAAGAAAGCAAGTAACTCTGTAGGACAAAATTACCTGCCTTCCTCCCCAAACAGGAGTTGTTTCAAAGTTACACGACTGCTCCCT